AGGACGAATGCTAGAAATTTAGCAAGCTATCCAACGCTGAAAGTCAAGGCACCAACAAATAATTGAAGACATCTTGAATGATCTTATCAAGAAGGTGTCCAAGTTCGTTGCTCTCTCTCCAGTGCCTAAGCTGCTGCCCAAAAGAAGAAGAAATCCTTCAGATCCTAATGATGGACCTACTCTAAAGAACGAACATGAAACTAACTTCTCCTTAGAGGAAAGGATTCGAAGAAGCCAGATATCTCTATGTTGAACCTGACTCTGCCAGCGAAGGTTCCTTACATACCCAACACTGTGCATTTCAAGCCTGAGTATAGATTAATATTCATAGACTATGACAATGAGTACAACTTTCAAGGAGTATCTGAGTTCCGTCTCTGTCCAATAGACCACCTTGAATATCTCATATATTGGTTGGACAATGACCTACCTGGTGAGATGAAGGACCACAAGATCATAAAGGAGTATGTACGTCGAAAGAAGCTTGGAGAAGCAGTACCAGGGTACATCAACTTTAACGACCTAGAATAGTTAAACTTTCTATCTTGTAATCTTTTTTTCTTTTCATGTCTTTCAGTGTACAATATATATGCAATAGGTCTAGCAATCACTAATGTCTTTTCATGTCTTTCAGTTATCATACTTATATTTGTTTCCCTAAAACTTGTAATCCTTGACAACTTAAGTAAACTTTATAAGAAAATTGTATCACTGAAAAAGATCCCAAAATAGTTAAAAGGGACTTGTATTTTACTTGTATCTTTTCCCTACTATTATAACTTAAGCAATTTTGTATATGTTGTTTTGTCATCATCAAATAAGGGGAGATTGTTGATCCTCTCTCGCATTGATTTGATGATGATCCATTTTACCTTACGAAGTATAATATTTTTGTTATTCATTTTCAGTGATCTTCACTGAGTATGTTCAGTGATCGTTGAACATGTAATGTAACTCCTTCAGAGACTGTTATACTTCAAGAAGACAAAACTCACACCACAGATCCTTCAGCAATGTCGAAGACAGAATATAAAGACTAGAGACTAGTGTGTTCGTGATCTAAAGCGGCATTCAGTGATTACAAGCTTGTCTAATTATGTGTGGTCTGCATAAATTTTAGTGAATGCTGAAGAGACCCTCCAGCGTCATCCCAGCATTCATCGATCAAGTAAAACTTGTCTTGCACGATTATTTTTGTCTTGTCCTCTTTCACATAAAGGACAAATCCATACATTTTCTCGAGTATAGTACAGTAAAGAGCCATCCGTTGACTTTATAGTGCTTACCTACTTTATGAAAAGAGGATTGCTCATATACAACCAAAAAAAACTGTTTACTGTAGCAAAAACAAGCTTTTCTCCAAAAGCTTAACACGTGCTTTGTACCTTCTGAATTGCATTTAATGCAATGGGTATAAATAGTCAGTGTTCTCTACTTAGTTATCACTTCTTCATCTCTAAGAAACTTACCCAAAACGATACTTCTCTCTCTACTCTCATCTTAAGAAAAAGAACCACTTAGAACAAGTGAAGAACGTTTACATTTCTTATATTTATTTCTTGTAGCAAATCTTTTCTCTTTGCTATTTGTAATTGTATGAACCTTAGATTGTTTAGATAGTTCTTTACCTTATCCCTTCCGCAAACAATCTGTAAAATTTGTATTGATATTTCATTATCAATATATAATTTTTAAAAGTGAAAGTTCATGTGTTTGTATTCATCCCTCCCCCCTTCTACAAACTGATTACTTATAACTCTTGTAGATTTGATTGTAACCAACATTATATACTCATAGTATTTGTGAAACTTTCTTCCCTCTAGCAATGTGGGATAATCAACTTAACATCAGAATCCAAGATTCGAGAAACTCTCAAACCTCATTATGCCACGTCATTTACCTTTAGTTGTTCCTTTAATATATATATATATATATATATATATATATATATATATATAAGGGAGCGATCAAATGCAAACCACTCAATTTGTACAAACCGTGCAAACCGCATTCAACCAATCATAATTTTTCATTTTGTTCATTTTTTTGTAATTATGAGAGGTTGATTAATCATTTTTATTATGGAGGGTGTTA